GCAGAGCGCTAGCCTTGAGCTGAAGAGCTGAGGGACAGTGCCCATGCCCAGAGTTCAGGCCGACGACCAGACTCCCCCCCCCCCAAAAAAAAAAAGAATATCATGAATATCATGTACTTTCCTGCCTGGGCTGGCTTTGAACTGTAATCCTCAGATCTCAGCCTCCAGAATAGCTAGGATTACAGGCATCAGCCACTGGTACCCGGCCTCTGGTGCTGTTAAGTGATGCTGATATATTATCTAGCCTGGAGCCAGACATAGTGGCCTTTGCTTATGATCCCAGCACTTGGGAGATTGAGTTCATGTCTAGCATGGGTTATGTAGCGAGACCCTGTTTCAAAAAACAAAAAAGGACATCTAATTTTGATCCTCATAATAATAGGTAAGTACTATTTTACTTACACTTACCAAGAAAAAAAATGTAGAGAACAACTAAAACCCAGAATTGGAGAGGTGCTAGTGACTCATGCCTGTAATCCTAACTACTCAGGAGGTTGAAATCTGGGAATCATGATTTGAAGTTAGACTGGGCAGAGAGTCTGCGACACTTATCTCCAATTACCCATCAAATGGCTAGACTGAAGATGTGGTTCAAGTGGTAGAATGCCATCTGTGAGCAAAAAAAATTGAGTGAAAGTATAAGGCTCTGAGTGTAAACCTCAGCAGTGGTACAAAAATTTAAAATAACAACAAAAACAAACAACAAAAAAAAATGCCCAGGATTGAGATTTGGATCTAGGTGGTCCAACCCTAGACTCTAAGGCTCCTCACCAACTGGGGAAGAGCTCTGGAAATGGAGATGAGAAGGAATGAGTTTTTCAGAAGTCACAGGCTTTAGGCCAGAGGAATTCCAGAAGACTTGGAGAACTTTTGGCAGCTTAGCTGGGGCTGGGCCGGATGCTCCCATTCTTGCTATTCTGAGATTCCACAGAGCACTGGGTTCTGCCCGCATTCTTTCAGGAGGTTCCAGGTATAAACCCTATCAAATAAGCTGTCTGGATTCCTCCAGGGAAAAGCTTTGTGGTACATTTGCACTGTAGCATACTTACAGGGAAGGAGGAGCCCACAGCTGGATCTTCACTGCACTGTAGCTTTTACATTGGAAGGTGGGTCCACTGAGCTGAAAATACAGTTCCTGATAGAGCTGCTGACTGAGAGGAAGTGCAGGGTGGGCATAGGTATGGTTGGGAGGGGGTAATCTAAAGGGTCTACTTCCAGGCTGGAGGGAAGTGCTTGCTCTGCCTGCCCCTTGGCCAGGCAGTGTGGCAGGGGAGGGTGGTGGATGAGGGGAGGGGCTTGCCTGTCTTTCTTGCATCTCTTGCAGGTCTGAGATGCGGGCCTTGGTGCTACTCCTCTGGGCCGGAACCTTACTTGGGCAAGTCAACTGCCAGAATGTCGCCAGCAGCTCTGAGGTCAGTGGGATGAGAAGAGAGGGGTATCAGCTCTTCCAGCCCCTGCTTAGCAGGCAGCATGGTAGACAGCACAGGAAGTCGGGTTCCAAGAATTCTTTCAGAGGACAGAACAGAGGCCAAAATAAGATTAAAAAAAAAAACAACCTGAAAAGTGCTGGGCACAGGTGGCTCGTGCCTGTAATCCTAGCTACTCAGGAGGCTGAGATCTGAGGATCATGGTTCAAAGCCAGTCTGGGCAGGAAAAAATCTGTGAGAGTCTTGACCTCCAATTAATCACCAAAAAAATAAAAAAAATCTGGAAGTAAAGCTGTGGTCCAAGTGGTAGAGTGCTAGCCCTGAGCAAAACAAAATCTCAGAAATAGCACTCAGGACTTGAGTTCAAGCCCCAAGATCCTCCCTTATATCTCTGCAATACTTGTATGGCTCACTGGATGGGTGGTAGTCTTTAGTAATTTGTTCAGGTACTGACTGGAGTGTAGAGTTCTCAGAGAGCCCAGTTGGAGCCTCTGTTGCATGACTAGGGGTGAGGGGTTCTTACTCACAGGTCAGGCAGCTGGGGCATACTAGTCAGAGCCCTGCATTTTGTGGGTTCTGAGTTTCAGTTATGGTTCTACTTCTCACCAGCTTAGTGACCTCAGTCTGTTTCTTTACATTGTGACTATACATTTATTTATTACCTGCTGGATACTTACTCTTCTTTGTCTTTGGTGCTGGAGATTGAACCTAGTAGGGCCTTGTATAGCTAGGCAGGTACTCTACCTGCTGCAGCCTACTCATGACCATCTATCTACTCTGAAGGTTCTGGGGATAGGTAGAAAGTAAAGACATTTTCAATTCTTTTAAGCTATTAGTCTTTTGGGGTATCAGATGAATATATCAATGAAGAAATGAAGAAAGTAGAAAAGAACTAGCAGAGGCTGGGGCATGGCTCTGTGGTAGAGTGCTGGCTTAGCATGTGCAAGTCCTTAAGGTTTGATACCCAGCACCGGAAAGTGAATGAACTAGCCAAGAGCCTAGCACCTAGCATAATGGTGATCTTTGGCTCTGGAAAAGGTCAGGAAGTCAAAAGTTCCCTTCAAATAGTGCTGGCCAGGGAAAATCTGGGATGGAGGAAAGGACATGTGGCCAAGAAAGACAGGGCAGGGTGTAATAGAAGGGTGCAGCAGAGCAATCAGCCAGGGTGACCAGATGGAGCCTGAGTACAGGGTTTTTAGTGGGGCTGGGGATGGAGATGGGGTACTCCTAGTCATTTGTTTAAAAAAGTGTGTCGGGGCTGGGAAGATGGCTCAGTGGTAGAGTACGAGCTGAGGGACAGCGCCCAGGCCCAGAGTTTAGGCCCAATGACCGGACCCTACCCCCCCAAAAAAAAAGTGTGTCATAGGCTTCCATCAGATGTCTAAACCTGGCCAGCTAAATATCTTCCAGGTTGCCTCTTCCTAGCAGAAAATTCATGCCTCATTTAACCTTAGGCTAAACATACCATAAACCCCAGAGCCAGAACACACCCTACTCAAGGCCAGGAGACATCATTCACTTAGTGTCACCTCTGGTCCTTTTACTCCTAATCCAGGGCTCCCCAGTCCCTGACAGCACTGGGGAGCCAGTGGAGGAAGAGGATCCCTTTTTCAAGATCCCTGTGAACAAGCTGGCAGCAGCCATCTCCAATTTCGGCTATGACCTATACCGCCAGAGATCCAGTGCCAGCCCTACTGCCAACGTGCTCCTGTCTCCACTCAGCATGGCCACAGCCCTGTCTGCCCTTTCGCTGGGTGAGTGTGTAGCTGCAGAAGGCCCCAGATGGACATGGAGGCCCCTCCCCAAGGGGCTTCTGCACATGTGCAATTTGGGGAAGGGCATAAAGGGCTTGTGGTAAAGCTGGTTAGGGGTGTGTGTGTGAGTGTCCTGCCCATATACTTGGGAGCTCAGGGTTTGTACAGCTGCAATCCTCACTTCTTACTGATATTGTGACTAGAACATTTATTCATTCCTTAAACAAGTTCCTACTATGTGTCAGCTATTCACCTAGGTTCTAGGGATTTATCTGCCTGAAAACAGGTTTGGGGTTGCCCACAGTAGGGTCACAGCTTGAGTTCACAGGGGACACTGATAAATAGGTAACTACAAAACAGTGTAAGGACTGAGATAGGGAGTATTTGGACTTGTGCTCACCTACTTTAAGGAACATCTCTGAGAACCTAGTTGTGTCTTCCATTACCTTCAAATCCTTGCCCACCTAGAAAGTCTGAAGGATCAGTCTACTCAGGCTCTTAGGAGATAAAAGGAGTATTAGCTAGGTTGTGGAGGACATGTACAGGAGTCTAAGGCAGAAAGCTTGTGAGCTCCGGGTCAGCTTGCTTTACTAAGAAATGTTTAAGCCGGGCACTAGTGGCTCACGCCTGTAATCCTAGCTACTCAGGAGATTGAGATCTGAGGATCGCAGTTCAAAGCCAGCCCAGGCAGGAAAGTCTGTGAGATACTTATCTCCAGTAATCCACCAGAAAACCAGAAGTGGCGATGTGGCTCAAGTGGTAGAGCACTTGCCTTGAGTTGAAGAGCTGAAGACAGTGCGCAGGCCCAGAGTTCAAGCCCCACAATTAGCAGGAAGGAAGAAATGTTTAGCATTGCTGTCCTGAAAGAAGCTGGACTAGGGCCCATCAGTTATCCAAGGATCATCATCTTGTCTGACAGGTGCAGAACAACGAACGGAATCCATCATTCACCGGGCTCTCTACTATGACTTGATCAGCAATCCTGATATCCACAGCACCTACAAGGAGCTCCTTGCTACCGTCACTGCCCCCCAAAAGAACTTCAAGAGTGCTTCCCGTGTTGTCTTTGAGAGGAGTCAGTTCTCTCCATTTTTTTCTTCCCCTTTTCCCATCTCTCCTTCCCTCCCTTCTTATTGCTTTCCTCTCTTCTTTCCTTACCCACTTCTTTGTGGTCTTCCTGACTGCCCTTTCTGGTGCTGGGACTTTAGGCATGTTCTACTCTACCCAAGCAGTCAATTGCCTTTCTAGCCTGGGCTATCTGATAGTTAAGGCCTCTAAGCTCCAAGATGAACATTCCTGGCTACCTCCCCCCTTCCTGCCACCCTCCCCTCTCCCGCCACCCTCCCCCCCCTAAACAAAAGATCAAGTGTGTTCAGTCCAGGCCTGGCATTGGTAGACAGGAAGGAGCCCATAAGGATCAGAAAGAGGAAGTGGGCTGAGGAAGGCAGGAGGGTGTGGTTTTTTTTTGGGGGGGGGGTGGGGCACAGTGGTGTGCAATAGCATAAAGAGAAACAGCAATGGATGGAATCCATTGTCTAGTGCCTGGGGAAGCCAGCAGATGCTTCAGCAAGTCATGGGAAGATGCTGGGCAGGAAATGGGGGCCTGCTGTGTGGTAAACCAGAGCCTAAGCCTGGCAAATTCTCAGACAGGCTGCTGGTTCAGCTTTCACCCATACACTAACCTCTTCTTTTCCTTACTTCTTCTTAGAGCTGCGGGTGAAATCCAGCTTTGTTGCAGCACTGGAAAAGTCATATGGGACCAGGCCCAGGATCATGACTGGCAACCCTCGCATAGACCTGCAGGAGATTAACAACTGGGTACAAGCCCAGATGAAAGGGAAAGTTGCCAGGTCGACCAGGGAGATGCCCAGCGACATCAGCATTCTGCTTCTGGGTGTGGCTTATTTCAAGGGTGAGGGCTTCCCCATTTCTCTGTGGCCAGGGGCTGAAGACAGGTGTCAAGGGGCTGAGAAAGAGAAGTCAAATCCTTGCCTGACATGACTCTGAGGCAAAGCCAGGAGAGAATCAGATAGGCTGCAGCATATCTGTTTTCCATCTACTAGGTGTCTACAGAGTGACTGATGAGGGGCCACAGGTGTAAGAGGCATGACCTGCGCTGGGCACCATATTAGGCTTCTGAGTCAGACAGGGCTAAATCCTGGCTCTGCCTTTGCTGGTTGCAGAACCCTGAAATCTTCTTGGGTCTGAGTCCTCATCTTTAATGTCAGGTTCACACACATACTTTATAAAGTATAGACTATTGTATATTCACTTGTTTTCAAAGCAACCCTAATATTGTACTTCACACGCATACTTTATAAAGTATAGACTATTGTATATTCACTTGTTTTCAAAGCAACCCTAATATTGTACCTGGGGCACAGGAGGTGGTCAATAAACTGTCATTCATTACCTATCACCATTCTTCTAGACAGTGGTGATGGGCACATAAATGATTGCACAGCCTACTGTGGGATCTGCCATGTTCAGATAAGGCCTTGGAGATGGGGGGGGAGACAATCACATTATCTTCCCCTTAAAATGCTTATGTTTTTAGAAACCAGCATGACTGGACCCCTAAATTCCCAGAGGAAAGCAAGGTGGCTTCCTCCTTCAAGAGCTGATGTCCAGTAAAAGAGCAGTCACACACTAGCATATTAAAGATCACCTTTGATGAAAGGAATCAAATCAAATAAACTTCTTTCCATCTGAGTTGGCGCGTGGAAGGCTTTCGGGGTACTGGAAGTACTGTAGCTCAAACCACACATGCTGAGATAGAGCAATTGTTCCCTCATGTGTCAGAGCAGCTGAGGACTAGGATTCCTTCAAGCAGTCAGGAAATTGACACAGCATGGTCCCCTAGGCCTTTCTGGTGCCTGGGGCTCAGGACATTCCATTTGTTCCATTCCAGGACAGTGGGTAACGAAGTTTGACTCCAGGAAGACCTCCCTCCAGGATTTCCACTTGGATGAGGACAGGACTGTGAGAGTCCCCATGATGTCGGACCCCAAGGCGATTTTACGTTATGGCTTGGATTCTGATCTCAACTGCAAGGTCTGTAGAGGTAGATGGGAGAGGTCAAAGAAAGGCAGAATGATGTATGGAAATAGATGGATAATTATCTGCATTTTATCTGCTGGGTGACTGTGTGAGCAAGTCTTCTGAGCCTTTCCTCGCCTTAAGATGGAATGAAGGCTGGGTGCTGGTGGCTCACACCTGTAATCCTAGCTACTCAGGAATCTGAGTTCTGCTGATCATGGTTCAAAGCCAGCCTGGGTAGGAAAGTCCATGAGACTCTCATTTCCAATTAACCATCAGAAAACCGAAGTGAAGCTCTGGCTTCAAGTAGTAGAGTGCTAGCCTTGAGCAAAAGAGCTCAGCAACAGCACCCAGGTCTCGGAGTTCAAGCCCCATGACCAACAAAAGAAAAGAAAAGAAAAAAAAAGATGGAGTGGAAGGTTAGTTATCAAATGTATCCTTGGAAGTGGTGCTGTGGCTCAAGTGGTAGAGTGCTTGCCTTGAGCTGAAGAGCTGAGGGACAGCGCCCAGGCCCAGAGTTCAGGCTCCATGACCGGACCCCCCCCCCAAAAAAAAAAGAGAAATGTGCTTTTTATTTGTCAGTCTTGGGGCTTGAACTTTGGGCCTGGGTACTGTCCCTGAGCTCTTTGGCTCAAGGTGAATGGTCTACCACTTGAGCCACGCGCTCCTTCCTGTTTTCTAGTGATTAATTGGAGATAAAAGTCCCACAGACTTTCCTGCCCAGGATGGCTTTGAACTGCGATCCTCAGATCTCAGCCTCCTGAGTAGCTAGGATTACAGGCATGAGACACTAGCACCCAGCTAATTTTTTTCTTTATTAAGGGATTACATAAATTTCACAGTATTGTGGGAATGTGATACTTAGCTACGTTTGAGCCTTCACAAGGCAAATTGTCATTATCATGGTCTATAAAGCTTGTGAACTCTACAAACTATGACAATACAACTATTTCTTTCAAATCGGGTGATATGTACATTTCTTTCCTTTTGCTTAGTGTAAGCTGTTCTCTCTTTCTCAGTTTTTTTTTTGGGGGGGGGTCAGTCATGGGGCTTGAAGCCTGGACCTGGGCACTGTCCCTCAGCTCTTCAGCTCAAGCACTCTACCACCTGAGTCACAGGGCCACTTCCGGTTTTCTGATGGTTAATTGGAGATAAGATAATAAGATAAGAGTCCATGGACTTTTCTACCTGGGCTTTGAACCAAGATCTTCAGATCTTAGCCTCCTGAGCTAGGATTATAGGTGTGAGCCACCGGCGCCAGGCCTCAGTTTTTGTGTTTTTAAGGAGCATCTAGAGTTTACTTGCTGTTACAGGATAATTGTTATATATATCAGGAGCTGGGCCCATACAGAGCCAAGCACCACCATAGGAGAAGGGAAGGTATAGCTCTTAGTATCAGTCCATCCCTAGGCTTTGAGGTGTTGAAGGACTTACCCACCTGCTTCTTGCTGTTTCAGATTGCTCAGCTGCCCTTGACTGGTAGTATGAGTATCATCTTCTTCCTTCCCGTGAGAGCAACACAGAACTTGACTATGATAGAAGAGAGCCTCACCTCTGAATTCATTCATGACATAGACCGAGAGCTGAAGACTATCCAAGCAGTTCTGACTGTCCCCAAGCTGAAGCTGAGTTATGAAGGCGAAGTTTCCAAGTCCCTACAAGAGATGAGTATGTTTGCAAGACCTCTTTGCTCTTGGAGGTCATGGTGGGGCTGAACCTTAGAAGCTTCCACTTTGCTAAGCAGAATTCAAGGGCTCCATGGCTTTGTAGACAGGCCCTGGATGTATCATCCATTTTACATTTTAATAGATTTTCCTCTTGGGACAATCATTTACCCTGGCTCCAAGCTTCACAGGTCAAAGCAGTGCTCCATTTCCAGTTTGCCTGCCTTTTTGCCTCTTCTTTGGGGTGTTACATAAGGCAGGGTTTTAATGGGAATCTCTCTTAACCTCTACAGAACTGCAATCCTTGTTCGAAACGCCAGACTTCAGCAAGATCACAGGCAAACCTGTCAAACTCACTCAAATGGAACACAGGCTTGGGTTTGAGTGGAATGAAGATGGTGCAGGAACCACTCCCACCTCACCCCTGCAGGTTACCCGCCTCACCTTCCCCCTGGACTATCACCTTAACCAACCTTTTATCTTTGTACTGAGGGACACAGACACAGGAGCCCTTCTCTTCATAGGCAAAATTCTGGACCCCAGGGGCACTTAATGCCCCAGTTTAATGTCCCAGTATCCTGGAAGAAAACTAGAAGAATGGCAAGAACACATTACATGAAGGTGCTCCTATAGTTTCTATGTATGCTTTGCAATAAAAGAGCTTTTTCCGTAACCTGGGTTGCTTTGTTCTTCCCTGTTTTGAGCTATGCTGAGTTGACTGTGAAGATGCATTGCCCTGAACTCTGCAGAAACCATTTATAAGAACCTTTAGTTATCTGTGTTTATATAAGAGCCTGCTTTCTACCCTGGGTGTTTATGCATCAGGGCCACTAGTTCTCCAAGGAGGACATCTCTGGTCTCCACAATCACTAAAGCATGTTGTTAGTTAGCTTTCCCTGATTGTAACAAATACTTGCGATAATCAATAGGAGAAAATCTGATTTACTTTGATACTGGTGATTGAACTCAGGATCTCGAACATGCTGAGTAAATACTGTTACTTGAGCTTTTTGTCTTGTGTGTGTATGTACGTGTGTGCGTTTGCCAGTACTGAGTCTTTTTATTTTGTCGGTCCTGGGGCTTGAACTTGGGGCCTGGATGCTGTCCTTTAGCTCTTCAGCTCAAGGCAAGCACTCTACCACAAGCCACAGCGCCAGTCCCAGTTTTCTGGTGGTTAACTGGAGATAAAGAATATCATGGATTTTCCTGCCCGGGCTGGTTTTGAACTGTGATCCTCAGATCTCAGCCTCTTCAGTAGCTAGGATTACAGGCATGAGCCACTAGCACCCAGCAGCACTGAGTTTGAACTGAGGGACTTGTGCTTTCAATTGGTGTGTGTGTGTGTGTGTGTGTGTGTTAGTCCCTAGGCTTGAAGTCTGGGCCTGGGTACTATCCCTTAGCTTTGTTGTTCAAAGGTAGTGCTCTTAACCTCTTGAGCCACAGCTCTACTTCCAGCTTTTTGTTTTGGTCCTTAATTGGAGATAAGAGCCTCAGGCTTTCCTATCTGGGATGGCTTTGAACCTTTATCTTCAGATCTCAGTCTCCTGAGTAGTTAGGATTACAGGTGTGAGTCATTGGTACTTGACTCATTTGGCTTTTTCACTCAAAGTGGTGCTATACCACTTGAGCCACACCTGTAGTTTTGGTTTTGGCTTGTTAATTGAAGACTGAGGAGTCTTTTGGACTTTTCTGTCTGGGCTGGCTTTGAACTACTATCCTTAGATCTCAGCCCCCTGACCCCTGAGTAGCTGTGATTGCAGGCATGAACTACCAGCTCCTGGCCTCATAAGTGTATTTTTCTAATAGGGTTTTGCAATTTTTCCTGGCTGGCCTCAGACAGAAATACTCCTGTCTCAGGCTGGGAATGTGGTTTAGTGGTAGAGTGCTTGCCTAGCATGCATGAAGTCTAGGAATAGTGCCGAGGAGGAGGAGGGGGAAGTGGAGGAGGGGGAGGAGGAGGAGGAAGAAGAGGAAGAAGCAATACTCCTGTCTTAGCTCCATAGCTGGTACTACAGGCATATGCCAACCATGCCTGGCAGAAAAGGATTTATTTTTGGCTCATAGTTTTAGATCCAACCATAATCAATTGACATGGCTACTTTTAGGAATGTTGTGAGACAGAACCTCATAGCAGGAATGCCTTACAACTGGGAAGCAAAGCAAAAGAGATCAAGATCCCACTATTTTCTTTGGAGGTGTCACCCGAGTGAACTAAAGACCTCTCACCTCTTTGGTTCTCCACCTCCAAGTCTATATAGGCCTTTGGTGAGAGCAGAGGCAGAGGGTATGTAAGAACAAAGTTATAGGTCATGCTCTTAAATTAGCCAGCTTGGTTTCAGTGCATTCCATAGTTAAGCTAAGACTACATGATAATAGAGGTTAACATATGGACAGATAAGGGAAGTAATTTGTAACTTTAGGATACAGTTCTTTATTTTATAAAGCAAGCTTGCAAGTACATATAAAATAGAACCTGATTAGCATATTCTTAAAGAAACTAGAACTATTTTTATGAACTATAAGCCTTTTTGAGAATCATGAAACATGTCAAACTTTTGAGAATCTAATTTATCTGCAGGACTTTTTTCCTTTCCGAAAAAGTTCTACCAAAATATACACTGACCACTCCTTGCAACAATGAGTTATTAGAGGATAACCCACTTTTCATTCAACAAATATTTGAATACTAACTGTATTCCAAATACTGTATTCCTTCAAAAGCTACTGCCAGTCACCTCCTAGGCTATTTATTTCTTGACAGCAAGGCATGGCAACCAACAGGCCCACTTTAGGCATGGAAGGGTGACCAGCTCTCAAAGGCATTGTGAACCTGGCATCCATTCCCACTAACTCTTCCACAGTGTCTGGCCCCCAGTAGTGATACAGCAAAGGGCTGCAGACCCAGAAAAATTCCATAGCCTCCAAAAGACAGTTCCTGGATCATTGCTATACAGCCTGTGGGAGGGAACAACCATTCTTGTCTACCTCTGTCTCAAGTTTGAAACCACTAGCAGCAAGATTCATGCCCTTGAGCATCTGGGATATATGTGCACATGCTGGGGATACAAACTAGGGCCTTACGCTCATGCACTTTACCACTAAGCTACATCAGTGGTATATCACTCAGCATATTATTATTTTGTTGGTCCTGGGGCTTGAACTCAGGGCCTGGGTGCTATCCCTGAGCTTCTTTTGCTCAAGGCTAGCACTCTACTACTTTGAGCCACAGTGCCACTTCTGGTTTTCTAGTGGTTAAGTGGAGATAAGAGTCTCATGGACTTTATTGCACAAACTGGCTTTTAACCATGATTCTCAGACCTCAGCCTCCTGAGAAGCTAGGATTACAGACATGAGCTACCAGGGGCTGGTTCACTCAGTGCATATATATACATACATACACACACATACATATATATGTATGTATGTATATATATGTATGTGTGTGTATGTATGTATGTATGTATGTATTGCCAGTCCTGGGGCTTGAACTCAGGGCCTGGACAATGTCCCTGAGCTTCTTTTTGCTCAAGGTAGCACTCTACCACTTGAGCTATAGCGTCACTTCCAGCTTTTTCTGTTTACATGGTACTGAGGAATTGAACCCAGGGCTTCATGCATGCTAGGTAAGCACTCTACCACTAAGCCACATTCCAAGCCCCAAATTTTATTTCATTTATGTAGTACTGAGGAATTGAACCCAAGGCCTCATACATGCTAGGCAAGTACTCTACCACTAAGCCACATTCCCAGCCCCCCATATTTATTTCTGTATCTGCAAACTACACTCCTAACTATCCTAAAATATACTAAACTACATACTCTACTATACAAAACTATACTAATGAAGGATTTGAGGAAGCTTGATACCGTAAGTGAATCATGTTTCTTGAGGTAATGAGCCATAGAGATTTCTTACTGTATAATTATTTTTCAATTACAATACAATTACTAAAAGTTCCTACTAGTCTGTATGCAACATTTCATTACTATTAGAAACCACAGGACTGTTTCAGGAAAGCAGATTCTCACCATTTAGTGAGATGGAATCTGGCCCAAACCTCAGGCTGCCTGCAGATCAACTGAGTAACAGAGCTACTTCTGGGTTTTCTGATAGTTTACTGGAGATAAGATTCTCATGGCTGGGGCTGGGAAGGTGGCTCAGTGGTAGAGTGCTTGCCTTGCATGCATGAGACCCTGAGTTCGATTCCTCAGCACCACATAAGCAGAAAAAGCTGGAAGTGGTGCTGTGGCTCAAGTGGTAGAGCACTAGCCTTGAGCTGAAGAGCTGAGGGACAGTGCCCAGGCCCAGAGTTCGGGCACCACGACTGGTCAAAAAAAAAAAAAAAAAAGATTCTCATGGCTGGCTAGAAAGTTGGCTCACTGGTAGTGTTTGCCTTGCATGCATGAGGCCCTAGGTTCAATGCCTTAGTACCACATAAACAGAAAAAAGCCGGAAGTGGTGCTGTGGCTCAAGTGGTAGAGCACTTGCCTTGAGCTGAAGAGCTGAGGGACAGCACCCAGGCCCAGAGTTCAGCCCCCACGACTGACAAAAAAAAAGGAATCTCATGGCTTTTGCTGGGTGCAGGTGACTCACACCTGTAATCCTAGCTACTCAGGAGGCTGAGATTTGAGGATCTCGGTTCAAAGCCAGCCCAGGCAGGAAAGTCCATGAGACTCTTATCTCCAGTAAACCAGTAGAAAACTGGAAGTGGTGCTGTGGCTCAAGCGGTAGAAGGCTTGCCTTGAGCTGAAGAGCACAGGGATAGCGCCCAAGCCCAGAGTTCAAGCCCCAGGACTGACCAAAAACAAAACAAAACAAAACAAAAATCTCATGGCTTTTCCTGCCCAGGCTGGCCTCTTACCATGATCTTCAGATCTCAACCTCCTAAGTAGCTAGGATTATAGGGCGAGCTACTGGTGCCTGACTAACTACAATCTTTTTAAAGAAACAGGCCTCTCCAGATTCTAGTTGGAAGTCTTTTCTGTGTACTAGTTTTCTGAAGAGCTGTTTGCTATTCAAGGTACGTCCATGAATGCGTGAGTGTCTCTCTCCAAGTGTAGTATTTTCCAGTTTTCCCTGCCCTTAACACACTAGGATGGCTGTTGGGCAAACTGCCTTTCAGCTGACAGCTAAGCAGCAGGACCACTCTTTCAATTCATCTGCCAGGGCTCCTTTCCTGTGGCCAGAGTCCCTTGGGGATTCTATACTGAAGGCCCCACAAGGGCTGGTGGCAAGTCCAATAAACAAGATCTCATTTCTTGGAGCTCCTTGATTTCACTGCTCTGAGGGCCGACGTGCACCATGAGGACCTTTTCTGCCTTCTGTATGGTATTCAGAGCCTCAGGTACTGCAAACCTGAACCAAGGGAGGCAAGAGAGATCAGTTCACTGCTGGTTAAGCTATATATATATATATTATATAAGCTACGAATGTTATATATAAGCTAAATACAAGCTATATAATATATAAAATCATTATGTAAGTATAATATTATTATAGTTATATTAGTATATCATAATTATAATATATAAATGATGTTATAAATATATAATATATGTTATATATATTTGCTAGTCCTGGGCTTGAACTCAGGGCCTGTACCTGAGTTCCTGATGTTTCTGATGTACCTGACCAGGCCTTTGCTCTCAAGGCTAGTTCTTTACCACTTGAGGCACAGCTCAACTTTCAGCCTTTTTTTCTTTTTCTTTTTTTTTGTGATTAATTGGAGATAAGAGTCGCAAGACTTTCCTGTCTGGGCTAGCATCAACTGTGATCCTCAGATCTCAGCCTTGCTAGGTTTACAAGTGTGAGTCACCAATTCCCAGCCAAACATTTTCTTTTTCTTTTTCCCAGTCCTGGGGCTTGAACTCTGGGCCTGGGCTCTGTCCCTGTGCTTCTTTTGCTCAAGGTTAGTGCTCTACCACTTGAGCCACAGCACCACTTCTGGCTTTTTCTGGATATTTATTGGTGATAAGATTCTCACAGCCTTTCCTGTCTGGGCTGGCTTCAAACTTGGATCCTCAGATCTCAGCCTCTTGAGTGGCTAGGATTATAGGCATGAGCAACCAATGCCCAACTCAAACACTTTCTTATACCCAATGTACACTAATGGCAGTTCTATTGAGGTTGGAGGTACTCTATCCAGAAATACTGAAGTGAGTGTTCACCAAATGGCAAAAGGGTGGTAAGGATCAGCTCATTAATTGTCTGCACTCTATTTCTGTGGTATTGGGGTCTGATCTTGGGGCCTCATGCTTCCTCTACCAATTGGGACATACTTCTGGTTCTGATTTTGGCTAGCTATTTTGGAGATAGAGATTAGTGAACTTTCCTGCTTGGCTAGCCCTCCAGATCTTACCCTCCTGAGTAGCTATGATTACCAGCATGAGTCATTGGTGCCTGGCTCCTTATTATAATTTTTTTTTTTTTGTCAGTCATGGCGCTTGAACTCTGGGCCTGAGTACCGCCCCTCAGCTCTTCAGCTCAAGGCGAGCGTTCTACCACTTGATCTACAGCCCCACTTCAGGTTTTCTGGTGGTTTATTGGAGATAGGAATCTCACAGTCTTTCCTGCCTGGGCTGGCTTTGAACCGTGATCCTCAGATCTCAGCCTCCTGAGTAGCTGGGATTATAGGCGTGAGCCAACAGCGCACAGCCTTATTATAATTTTTAATGGTTTCTTTCTTTCTTTCTTTCTTTCTTTTTTTTTTTTTTGTTGGTCGTGGGGCTTGAACTCTGGGCCTGGGCACTGTCCCTCAGCTCAAGGCTCAAGGCTAGTGCTCTATCAGTTGAGCCACAGCGCCACTTCTGGCCTTTTCTGTTTATGTGGTGTTGAGGAATCAAACCCAGGGCCTCATGCATGTGAGGCAAGCACTCTACCACTGAGCCAAAAGCTCAGTTTCTTTCTCTCTCTCTCTTTTTTTTAACTTTTATTTACTTTTTTTTTTTTAAAGTGGTGCTGGGGATCAAATCCAGGCCTCATGCATATCAGGAAAGCACCCTACAATTTCCAGCTATGTTTATTTACTTTTTACTACAGTAATGAGGATGGAACTTAGGGCTTTAAGCATGCTAGGCAACTGCTCTGCTCATGAGCTATGCCTCAAGCCCCTCTTTTAAGCTTCATTTTAGACAGGGTTTTGCTATGTAGCTGAGGCTAGTCCTGAACATGTAATTCTACCTCAGTCTCTAGAGTGCTGGGATTAAAGGCATGTACTACCTTGACTGTCTGTCTCTTTTAACTTTTAGTTTCTGAACAACTCACATCTTGAGTTGATGATTGTGCTGTTAGGGGTGACTTGCACGCTACAGGAGGTTTAGAATACCTTAGCCTCTACCCACTAGATGCTAGTAACCTGCATTCCCCTCTCCTTCTCCCCCTCTCACTGTCATAACAATAAAAATGTCTATCCAGGTGCCAGTGACTCATGCCTGTAATCCTAGCTACTCAGAAGTTGAGATCTGAGGATTGAGGTTTGAAGCTAGCCTAGGCGGGAAAGTCCATTAGACTTATTTCTAATTAACTACCAAAAGCAGGAAATAAAGCTGTGGTTCAAGAGGTAAAGTGCTAACCTCGAGCAAAGAAGTTCAGAGATGGTGCCCAGGTCCTGAGTTCAAGTTCCAAGACCAGCATACACAAAAAAGTCTCCAGTCAGTGTCAGATGCTATCTGAGGCAGAAATCAGTCCTGGTTGAAAACAATTTCTTTAAAAGGCATAGGGTGTAAATTAGGAAAAAGATCAAGAGCCTGGAGTAGAAGGTGCTGGAAATAAGACAACCAAGGGCCAAGAGAGGTGTGATTAACCAGGGAGGAATGAGAGGGAATGCTACACTGGTAGAAGGGCACGGCTGCCCAGCCAGGCCTCCCTGGGGAAACTCTTCAGAGCTAAGAGCTTCCCTCATATCTCTAAGGAGGAAATTCTAAACCTTTAAGTTTGTCAGCAAAACTGAAAGCAAGGATCTGTCCTAAAGAGGAAATAAACAAGTTTCAACATACTTCAAAAGCACTATAGGCAAAAAGTGCTACATACACTGAAGCTCTTAGTAAGAAACAGAACAGTATGTGCCCTGCAGGCAAAGTGCTAGCAAAAGGTTAAGACTTACCCATTGAACAAGACTTGAGCCAGTTTGAAGAGCTCATGGCCCACTTCAACACTGGTTGGCCCATAGCGGGCCTCAACCACTTGGAGACTCTTCTGTAGATGGGCAGCAGACTTTTGCCAGTCCCCTAAGAGAAAAAAAAAGAATCTTACTGTAGAAAAGAACCACAGTAAACTGTGGATGAATTCTCAGGGTGAAGAAAGCTCAATGGAAGGGAGAGCAGCATCTATTTGAATATTGAGAGAACGAGGAATGGTGAGTATTGTGAAAAAACATACAAGGCAGGAAATGAAAACATGTGTCGTACCTAAGGTGGCATAAGCCTGGGCCAGGTTATCCTCAATCTTCCCCACCATGGTGTGCTCTCTCCACAGGAAGCTCTTGGCATCTTGCTGGTACACTAACAACTGCTGGATGGCTTGCTCTATTGATTGAAAGGAAAAAATGCTTCTTATACACAAACCTCAGCTTGGAAATGAGAAGACAAGTATCAGGTCTGCATCAGCTAGGCATTCACATGTCTCCATGGGCCCACAGTGTTCCAGTGCTCCCCATTTTTTTTATTGTCAAGATGATGTACACAGGGTTACAGTTATATACGTAAGGCTATAAGTACATTTCTTGTCAAATTTGTTATTCCTTCCCTCATTTTTCTCCTTCTTTTCCTCTCCTGAACTCCCCTCCAAGTCATACAGATCATTTCCAACATACGATCTTGAGTATATCACTGTTGCATTGGTTTCCCCCTTTGTCTCACCATTCTGTTGTTCCCCTTCCCTTCCCTAATTCAAATAAATGTATATATAATACCAGGGTACCAAAATAAAATACAGTGATAACAGGGGATATATCGTAAGAGGAAGAACATACAAAAGAAACAGAAAATCACATAGTTCATTAAAAACAACAACAACAACAAAAAACCTCTTGTGTCCATGTCTTGGAGTTAGCCAGTGTTCCCCATTTACTCTGGGTTCCCAACATCCACTCTCCAATATATCCAACCCTATAGTCCACTCATAGTCATTTCTTTTGCCTATGAAGTATAGGCTAAAGATCACTTTTCATAAAGTAGTGTAATTAAATTCTTTCTTGGTCAAGTTCTAATGAGGGCTGGGAATGTGGCTTAGTGGTCGAGTGCTTGCCTAGCATGCACCCTGTATTCCATAAACCACATAAACAGAAAAAGCTGGAAGTGGCCATGTGGCTCAAGTGGTAGAGCTCTAGCCTTGAACATAGAGAGGCTCAAGGATAGAGCCCAGGCCCTGAATTCAAGGCCCAGGACTGGCTAAAAAAAAAAATAGTAATGGGGAGTCCTCTTTCAGTGCTAGACATTGAACCTAAAGCCTCATGCATATTAGGGAAGTGCTCTGCCAGTGGATTGCACTGAGTAGGATTCTTATCTCTACTGGGCGCATGCTCTTACCACTTTCTAGCCAAGACTGACTCTGAGGATCACCTTCCTAGAAAGTCATGGAAGTGGGCTGGGAATGTGGCTTAGTGGTAGAGTGCTTGCCTAGCATGAATGAAGCCCTGGGTTTGATTCTTCAGCACCGCAAAAACAGAAAAGGTGGGAAGTGGCGCTAGAGTGTTAGCCTTGAGCACAAAGAAAGAGCTCAGGGACAGAGTCCAGGCCCTGAGTTCAAGCCCCAGGACCAGCACAAAAGGAAAGAAGGAGGGAAGGAAGGAAGTCAGTCAGGGAAGTCAGATATAAGCCTCCAGTCATCAGGGATACCAGAATTTGTTATCTAATGCATAAGTAATCAGCTTCAATCATTTATCTTTTTATACAAGGACTGCTAGCTAGGGTTTGTTTGTTCTTACTGGCCAATATAGCCACCTTGTGGCTGCTACAGGGATATTTCAATACAATTCTTTATTCCTGAGTTTTCTTGATACAAAGTGCTATGAGAATACATATAAAAGGGAAAGGGCTGGAGGACCAAGGATGGAGTCAGTCTCACCTAGTTTACCATTTCTGAGAAGCTTCTGGGCCATCTCAACGTGCTGTTGAAGTTGCTGTAACCGAGAGAGCAGATGGTCCCTACTGATGGATTCTGCACAAGATCTGGTGTCACAGCTCAGTACAGCATTTCCCTGTGGAAGTCAGTTCTGTCTTTACTCCTAAGTCACACTCAGTTCAGTTATTAACATTATACATGCTCACATTATGGGAATACTGACTCTATTGGGGAGGGGAAAAAGATTTCTTTTTGGTTGGTCATAGGGATTGAATTTAGGGCCTAGGCACTGTCCCTAAGCTTTTTTTTTTTTTTTTTTCCTCTCTCTCAAGGCTAGGGCTCCACCACTTTGAACCATAACAGCACCACTTCTGGTTAACTGGGGTTAAGGGTCTCTTAGACTTTCCTGTCCAGGATGGCTTTGAACCAGATCCTTAGATATTAGCTTCCTGAGTAACTAGGATTACAGGCATGAGTCACTGGTGCCCAGCTATGGAAAAAAAGTTCTTGCAATAATATATTATGAGGGGCTGGGAAGGTAGCTCAGTGGTAGAGCGCTTGCCTTGCATGCATGAGGCCCTGAGTTCTATTCCCCAGCACCACATAAGTAAAAAGAAAAAAAGCCAGAAGTGGCGCTGTGGCTCAAGTGGTAGAGCGCTAGCCTTGAGCTGAAGAGCTGAGGGACAGCGCCCAGGCCCAGAGTTCAGGCCCCACGACCGGACCCAAAAAAAAAAAAAAGAAAGAATGAAAACCAATACAAGGCTGGAAGTGTGGCACAAGTGAGTTAAAGTCAGCCTAGCGAGTTCAAGACCCTGAGTTCAAATACTAGTATTGCTATTAAAACAAGAAAAAAGAAAAAAATACAAAATTACCAGGAAAAAAAAGAAAACCAATACATAAGGGGTTAGGTGAGGCCCTTTCACAGTTTACCCAGGGTTTACCACTTTAGCTTCCCTGTACAACCAGCTCTGCCTTTTACTTACAGTACCCTCAGAAGAGCATGGATCCTATGACAGCAGGGGCATGGGTGCATTGCAGATGTTGGTATCTGTACCATCACTTGGCATAACAAACCAACTTCTCTTAAGGGTGCCCCCTCAGCCTCCCTCTGTCAATGCCATTAAGCTGAGAGAGCTCAGGTGTGGGGTTTCCCTCTGGTTCAAAATGGAGGAAAACTCCATTTTCTCTAGCCACAGTCACTGGGTCAGTGATGCATAAGACTTTTGTTCCAGCTGCTGTTGGAATGCCACATGTTTTTATTCCCCTGGGCAGGGAGGATCAGGAAGTTAAGCTGCTGTCCGCCACCTTACTGTACCACCCTGTCAGGGAAGTATGTGAGGATGGGGGTAGCACAGCAGGAATGGAGCTGCGACATGCAAAAGTGGGTTCTAGGTGACATTCCTGAGCCCTTGGATCAAAGATGTATCTTTGTGTGTGTGTTTGTGTGATTGGGGAATGGTGGTGGGGACTAGTACCAGGGTTTGAACTCAGGGCTTTGTGCTTTCACTTGGGGCTTGCTTGCTTGCTTGGCTGGTGCTTTACCACTTGAGCCACACTTTTAGTCCAGCCTTTTCGCTGGTTGATTGGAGATGGAGTCTTATAGACATTTTTGCTTAGCTGGCTTCAATTGGTGGTTCTCCAGATCTCAATCTCCTAAGTAGCTAGGATTGTAGGCAGGAGCCACCTGTGTACTGGTGCCAAGCTGTATCTGAAGCAGCTCTACCCTGAAACAAAATATTTTTTTTGAGACAAGCTGGTTCAAATTTAAGATTCTCTTGCCTCTGCTTCCTGAGTACTGGGATTATAGACATGTGTCACCAGGCCCCAGCATAAAACTTTTTTTTTTTTAACCAGTCCTGGGGCTTGAACTCAGGGCCTAGGCACTGTCCCTGAGATTCTCTGGGCTCAAGGCTAACACTCTACCACTTGAGCCACAACACTACTTCTGGCTTTTTCTGCGTATGTGGTACTGAGGAATTGAACCCAGGGCTTCATAAACGCAAGGCAAGCACTCTACCACTAAACCACATTCCCAGTCCCCCAGGATGAAACTTTTTAATGAGTTACTTGAGCAAATGAATATCTAATTCCTTTTTATTTCCTTCCTTGAATCAGTTTAGGTGGCACTTTATGTCACGTGCAAGAGACACATCACTAAATCTAACCTTAACCCTGTCATTCCTTTAGAGAGACAACCAATATGTGGGGATGGTTTACAATATGGAAATGTTATTACTGTGTTCAGCACCTACAAGCCCCTAATAGCTTTCTTCTAAAGACTGATGACTTTCAGGAAGGATCACTGTCCTCTGGGAAGAGTAGACTGAGAGAAGGGAGAAGAGAAATTTACCTTCATAAGTGCTCTGCAACTGTTACAACAGAAGGCTTCCCACCTGGGCCCCACAGCTGTTCTGAGCTCCTCAGTGTGACAAGCTGGACAGCTGCAGTCAAAGAAGTACTGAGACTTCAGCTTCTGTTGCCTTTCAGCAATACTCATCCGGCTCTCATGAGGCCCTGCAGAGAGATCAACCCCAGCTACTTCTTAAAGCAAGAGAGTTAAAGACTATTCACAAGTCTGCAGCTCAGCAAAGGAGCTGGGTGATTCATCACACAGCAGCAAAGTTTTACTTTACATTGGGGGATTTGGATTCTCAAATAGTTTTCAAAGTTGTTGGAACAGGGAGAAAAGAAGCTGAGCTGTTGAGGTAGTGCATAGGGATTAAGTAGTGAAAGACACAATAGCCTGTCCACTATAGGGCTTCCTACTATGATTTTGGTCTAAAGATGCATTGCCTCTTCCAGGAAACTGGACAGATGGAAGCATCTGCCTGATGACTTGCTCATTCCTATCCAGCTTGTTATTTTTGGCTGGAAAAGGGCAGGCCAGTGGTAAGGAAGCTTTGCTCACCATAGCAGTGGAGAATCTCTTGCCCTTTTCCAATCTGCTGTGTTGCCCGAATGGTGACGACAGTGCCAGCGAAGGACAGGCTGGTGTTGGGGCTGCAGGAGTGGTTCAGTAGACTGACAACAGGGAAGATGCCTGTGGCAAGGCGTACCTGCTTGCTGCTGGTAACGAAGCTCTCTTTAGATCCTGAAAGCACAAGAGGGAAGAGGAAAAATGCATCAGGCCATCAGTGCTGACCTCGCCATCCTTTCCTCAGAAGATGAGCTGAGCAGCTGGGCCTGAAGCCCATCTGAGTCATTGCTCCACAGCCGGATCCAATCTAAATTGGATGGAACATGAGTCATGACAAACTTTGGGCCCCAGGAAACAAAGTGAAGGAACGCATGAAAAATCCACTGGAATCCTAAAACTTAATTGTTATGTCCCTATGCCATAGCTAAAAAAATAAAATCCCTAAATTAGAATTTATTAAAAAATAATCAAAAAGGGATTATCAGCATGGAGATTTCTAGACTGTTTCATACTGTTCACAAAGACACAGAAGCCAGAGTACCTGTTGAGACCATTTCCCAAAGACAAGTGCTTTTAACTGGTCTCTGGTTCATTAAAAGAACAAGTGGCCAGTTATTATACTAGACTTTATAGACTTTTTGTGCCTACAAATATATATAAAATGAATATTCATTATGCATACTGCTTCATTTTACCCTTATCCCTCCTTTATGGGAAACCAGTCAGCAGTAATTCTCACCAAAGCACTCTCTGTACTAGCTTTATGTAAGTTAGTCTCATGTTCCAAACAATCTTTGCAGCACAGTTAAAAGCAAATGAAGCCAGGCACCAGTGGTTCATGCCTGTAATCCTAGCTACTCAGGAGGCTGAGATCTGAGGATAATGGTTTGAATTCAGTTGGAGCAGGAAAAGCTGTGAGACGCTTATCTTCAATTAACCACCAGAAAACCAGAAGTGGAGCTGTGGCTCAAAGTGGTAGAGCACTAGCCTTGAGCAAAAAGCTCAGGGACAGCACCCAGGTCCTGAGTTCAAGCCCCATGACTGACCAATTTAAAAAAAAAAAGTGAATAGATGTAACAAGAATTGTTAGCGCCAAGCTCATGTACTTATGTTCATATATGACTTCTTTGTACTCATGTACAAGCCAATGAATTGGTCAAGGTTTAGATATCCGAAAAAAAGCAAAAACAACCCAATTACTTAGAAATAGGAATGGTAAGCTGGTCTTATCTCAATTTCTAGAACTCATGAGGCTGAGGCAAAGAGATTGCAAATTTAAAGCCAGCCCAGGCAACATAGAATTATAGGCCAGCTGAACTTCAGTGCAAGACCCTGTCTCCAAAGTAAGAGTGAGGAGAGAGTGAGAAGAGAAAAAGGGAAATTTTTTTGTTCCATTTTGGAGGTTCCAGTCCATGGTAAGTTGGGCCTGTGGTGGCATAGGACATGGCACAGGACATGGTAAGAGTGTGTGGCAGAGGAGGCTGCTTACCTCATGGTGACTAAGCAAAAAGAGAAAAAGGAGCTGGGTTCCAGTAGCTCAATCTTTGCTACTTAGGAGGCTGAGATTTGAGGATTGTGGTTTGTAGCCAGAAAAGTCCATGAGACTCTTATCTCCAATAAACTGTTCAGAAAAAGCTGGAAGTGGCATTGTGGCTCAAGTGGTAGAGCACTAGTCTTGAGCAAAAGAGTTGAGGGACAGCATCTCAGGCTCTGAGTTCAAGCCCCAGGACTGGTACACGTACACGTAC